TTTGAAAACATGTTTTGAGTCACGCCACACAGACAAATAGAAATTTGTTAACTCACTTGGTTGTGCTTCGTGATCACAATCGTACACTTGGGAACATGTCGTGCCGTCATATTCATATAAGTTGGCCGAGTACCTCTGCCAACAGGTGAAATCGCCGTAGCCATTATTGCCCGTACCTGCATACTCGCCTTCGTCCACCTGCGGACCCAGATCCGCAGTAAAAGTCACTCCAGTATCTGTGAAAAGACCAGAGGTTTCTTGGCCTGCCCATAACCGTGCTTGCCCATTTTTTGTGCTCACGACTGCGACATCCTGTGGGGTTGAGCCGGGTGAGCCCGGAAAATAGGCCATTTGCGATGACACAACGCCGTCTCCATCTCGACAGTCCGCCAGAACCACGTGTTCGGCATCATCTCGCGGACGTACGAGCCTCATAGAATACGAGACATGGACGACGGGGGCGCCGAGAGACGCAAGGCATGTTGGCAGGAGGAGCAACACGCCGGCGACAAGGACATTGGGGCTGGTACCCGCGGCGCCAAAGCATAGTTGACGCCGCATAGCGAGCGGCCAACTGTGATGAGCAATCAATCCAGACGATGAAGCCGGAACAAATAACTTAATCGCCAGCAAGAAGACCCCAATTGGCGCTCCACATCCCTTGTCTCTCAAGGACTCGACGGGGAAGGTTAGACGTTCACCTGATGAGAGGTCCGGCGGGAAGCGCTAGCCTTGTGAATGCTGACGGATGGCCCCCAAGGCCGTGGCGTAGTGCTCGCAGTTGGCGCGGAAGAAGGGCCGACAACTGCTAGAAGTGCCGGGCCTCTCACAATGCTGTCGTCTCTGGCGGTATGGAATGCAAACAACGAGCGACGATAGCTTGAAGGAACGAATACTGTGGTGTAAGAGGCGGCTCCAGCACACACAAGGAAGACGGTAGGATCAAAAAGGTCGTTTGGAGCGACACAGCGACGTTGAAGGATGAAAAAGGCCATGCGCGTCCCGCCCCGCTGCAGGTCTTCCCACAAAAGTTCGTGTTTTCGAACGAGGGATCACCGCCACAGGGGCGCACTTTTGCCCAACACAAGCAGCTTGCTGACAGCAGCTCGAGGGTTTCAGCCGTGAAACGGTGCCCATCAGCTGTTGTCCGCCAGAAATTTCCACAGGGGACCTGCATCCAATTGCAAAGGGACATAGGCGCAGCCCACTCGCCTATGCGAGAATCCTGTATCGAACAAGCCTAGTGCTGACGGGCTGCATTGCCGTGCGTTGCAATGGTGTGGAACGGGATGGGGAGATCGCAAAGTGACAAGGGTGGAAAGGACCCTGCAAGGAGACAATAGCACTCTTCCTAATGTTCTTAATGATTGCAGTTGTTCGGTTTAAATAAAGTCTACAGCCAACAGCCCCCCTCTTGTTCAAGGGGGTTGATTGGTGGTTCTGCTAACACATCGGAGAGTTGGTGATTTCCAATACGCTATGTCACGACAATGCACACTTGATTCATATGAACTTGTCACGGAGTGGACATTGGGAACTCCGAGTGCCAAAAATACTTTCAAGCCTAGTTCAGCCTCTCCTATCAAGCTTTCAGCTCTACATGAGGGTAACACCCAGACCGAAAGACACAACTGATTATCTCATATAAGAGCAGCTGCGGGTATTCGTGGACATTTCCAAGGACCATCACCAGACCCTTGCTTATATGGTGATATCATTTGGGAGTGGAGCTTCACTGCTTGGAAACTACACTGATTACATGAATTCATCAAGGTGGCAGTGACTAAAGGATATTAACCTTTTGGTGTCTTGTAACATGATACGTGGAGCTCTTAGAATGATGTGCTTGATTGGAGTTTGTACAAAGTTCTTTACTGGGTTCTGGGCACAACCACTCAAAGGTGTAGGTTCAAGTGACGAAGACTGCAGTTTTCAAGATTTGTTGATCAAGCATGCTGAAAGCCTTCGGGCGAGGTACGCATTCAAACACTATCATTCAACCTAATGGGGGTAGTACGATGTATTATTGATCTCATAGCTATTAAAGACCGCAGCCCAATACCACTTGTCATCCAGGTTGCAAAAGGCTTTGAACCATCATTGACTCATTGCATTCGAAATCTGCAGCTGGGCAAGAGAACCACGTCAAAACCAATCGGGGCTGAAATTTGCAAAATGGCAAAATTAGGCTAGGCAGACAAAATATCATCGTCTCTTGTTTACATCTACACGTTCTTGCCACATCAACAGCAGAGGTCCCTTTTCCTTCTCAACGTCCGAATCTTCTGCGCAACAAACCCATTCTGCCAGCTCCGCGTCGCCAAGATCCGACGTTGCGCAATCTCTCGACTTCACGTCAATATCAGGAATTTACCACTATCATCCTGAGCTATGGCGCGCGACAATGGAAAATTGGGCTTCTATCGAGCTACGTCCTCTCATGAGGTGAGTGGATTTTCATCGTCTCAGTCACTGGTGGAGTCAAGTAGCCACACTGTCAATCACTGACTAACTCAACCTCACAGAAAAGCACTACTGCGCCAAGCCCATTCTTCATCATGAAAAATGAGACCGATTCAACTCGAATTCCGCTGCCTCACAATGACGAGATAGATATATGGGCGCCAGTTGTTACCGATGGTGCTGATAGTGAAGTGGGGGGATTCCAAATTCTTCTGCAGGCATTCCTCTCATGGCTAGCGAATCCTTCTGACTTTGGGCTTGGCTTCATTGTCTACTTGCCAATAATCTATCTAATGTGTGTTGCCGTCATCATTCTCGAAGGCATTGCTGCAGCGCTTGAGGCCTTGGATAACACTATGGTCGAACTTATCAACGGAAGCCTCACTTGACCTCCAAGGGGCGAAAATCGACCATTCGCAGACTGGACACAACATGGCTATATCTCGGAACTTCCTCAAGTCACTGCCTTAAGGATTAGCCAGAATTTCAAGATGAGATGTTAGGTAGTTAGAAAGGGAATGGTGGAGGACCGAGGACCGGATATTCAAGGGATAGGAAGGCAAGCAAGACTGCTTTTGGCAATGCGACCATGATCTTCCCCTTTTAAATTTTATCTCACGAAACTCTGTGAGAATCAAGAAAGTAGTGTCTTGAGACCTGGTCCAGAGATGGAACTCCCGCGTTGATTTGCCTGTCATCTAGACCACAGTGTGATTGGCCTTATGCAATCTAAGTGCTTTTCTTCAATGTCTCTTCTTCCTCGAGAACAGATGTTAGATAAGTATGATCCAAACCATTCCATTGCTCATCGCTCATAGGAAGCAGCGGTCTCCGTGGATTCTTCGAATAGCCGAAGCTCTCATACACCATCCTCTTCAAACCAGGAATACCGATCCCTGCCGCAAAGCCATCTGCAAGCGCAATCATGTTTTGCAGTCTTTGAGCCTCCTGAAATTCCGCCGCGGTGGAGCCCGTGCTGGCCAATTCCCATAGTCGAACGCAGATTTTCTATGTCTATTAGCCATGTTTTTCTTAATGAATTCGAGATGGTAGCTAACCGGTGCAATGTTTGGCAGGCCCGAAATAGCCTATGTACTGTTAGTTGCCCCATTTTCTTCTCAAAATATGAAAGAGACTTTGTCTTACGCCTGCAGCTCCGCTGGCTATTGAGGGGAGGAGGATGTCGATATAGCCATCGATAACACGAAACTCTTGGACAGGATTACTTCGGGGATAAGCTTTCCTGAACTTTTCGGAATGAATCAAAGCATTGATCCTTGTGACCTTTCCCACCGAGCCGCAACTGGAGTATTTGTGAGTCATCGAGAGAGATGTTTGGGATAGGAGATCACAATCGACATACGTCAACTTAACCCCGACAGCATTCGGGGCTTCCTTTGCAATGCTAACAATCAAGTCGCTGTCTAAATCGATGCCCCCAGACACAGCTGGAAAGTTGTAAATGATTACCGGTAGTGGACTTGCATTGGAAATATCGACAAAAAACTTCTTCAATGCATCTCTATCCTTGGCAAGGACACCAGCATAATATCCCGGAGGAATCACCATCACATAATCAGCTCCTGCCTCCTTAGCATCCCTGGCGAGTTGAATGGTCTCCCTGGTGCTAGGGGCCCCAACACCAGCAACTACAGGCACGTGGTCTAGACCCGCCGACGACAGCGCCGAGCGGGCTGTCTGGATAAGCTCAATCCTCTCAGAGGCTGAAAGGTGTGGCGCCTCCCCGGCAGACCCGGCAACGACTGGGATTGTCCCAGCCTCGGCAACAAACTGTACATGCTTTCCAAAGCTATCAAGATCCAGGTCCTCGGACTCGGTAAAGAATGTGGGTAGAGGCGTGTAGATCCCTTTCGGGAGCGGGCGATGGGGATTGGAATTGGTCATGATGTTGATACTGGTTGATGATGGTAAGTCGGTAAGCAGTTTGCCGTGGTTATCTATCTTAAACAAGCTGCCTAGATGTAATTGTAAGTAATAATCACACTTACAATTCAAAACGTAGCTCATCCACGATAATATCAGACTAATTCCATGGCTAAAGACGCAAATCTCCATAGCGTTGAGGCAGGCATCACCGAGGCGCCGAAGGTGCCAAATGGCGCCGAGACCAATCATCATTGTGCCCAAGACTCATGCAACTATCAGGCGGGTCTGCGAAATTCAATCAGCGCCCTCAGGCATAGGAACAGCAGCACGTAAAATTGTGGTACGAGTGAGATCGAATCAAGACGACCATGAATGTCAGCGCACACAACACATAGACGAAATTGTCCAAGAAGGTTATGATGTCCTTGCTATTACTGCAAAAAAAAAAAAAAAAAAGGGAAGAAGCCGAGAGAAAAAGAACCCTCGTATTGCTAGTATAGACTGTACTGGTCCCATATATTATCACTGCTTGTGGTGCAAGTTATGCAAACAGAGAGAATCGAAAGTATTCTATTCCAAACACTTATGCGTAGCCGGAATTACACAGCATTGCTTGGTATATGCCTTGCAAAGCACTTGTTTCTACATCATTACAGTGTGAATCTGAACAGGGGCGAGTTCTCTCCCATCTCGCTCAATTCTAGGGGTGTATGTTGACTCTGGACCGTGTCCACAACCAGAGTGTCCCGCCTCCTATTCTCCTTTCGCATTAGCCACCAATGAATGGTTGCAGGGATCATAGCACCCAAGACAGTTGCTCCAACAGAGAATCCAAAGCCGAGCGGGTAGGTGGGAGCCTCCTCTGCCAAATAAATATTACTTCCGATACTGCCTCCACCCACACTACCGAAAAGCATCAACAAGCCGATTGCAGCAGCTCGCTTAGAAGGGTTCGGAATGTTGACTGAGGTCCATGCTCCAACGATGGGAGCCTGAGCCGAGTATCCCGCAGCGGCGAGGAAGATGGCAAAGTACGAAAGCCCGTATAGGTGCTGGTAGTGCACGGAAATCCACAGAATAATGATGCCAATAAGACCCAGCGTGTAGCACGACATGATGGATGCATAGCGTTTCTGATAACGATCGCTCATCCAGCCAACAAACACGCAGACGCATGTAGCAAAAATGTACGGTGGTGTGGTCAGAGCCTGCGCCCTCACAGCGGAATAGCCGAGGTTCTTGACCATGGTTGGTAAAGTATAAGAGAGCGAGTATGTGGGAACCGAGCCTCCCCACCAGAAGAGCATCATCATGAAGTACGTCTTCCTATCCTTGGCAGCAGCAATGACATCGCTCCAGCGGAAAGTGTACGTTGGGGCATCCGGACCATTGCAGTACTTCACTCGCAAACGTGCGTAGTCAAGTTCCTTGCTAGATAGCCATTTGGAAGTCTTGCTTTCCGTGTATTGATGAGGGAAGTGACTGTGGGGTGTTAATCAAGATTTCTAGCGAATGACCAACTGAACTTACGGCAAGAAGATGAGACACGAGATACCAGCAAAGATGGTGATAACTCCCTCAATCAGGAAGAGCCACTTCCAGGCTCGCATGCCGTGAGCACCGTCCAGATTGCCGACACCGTAGGCGATGACGCCACCGAAAGCACCTGCTGCGGTGTTTGCACCGTAGAATATGGCCATCCTGGTTGCGAGTTCTTTGGGAGTGTACCACATGGACAGGATGAAGTATGATCCGGGGTAAAGACCAGCCTCGGTCAATCCGAGGACCAGGCGAATGGCGATGTACGAGCCGTAGTTTTTGACCAAGCAAGTAAGGGTTGTAACCAACCCCCAACTAACAACGATACAGGGAAACCAGATCTTAGGTCCAAGTCTTCGCAGAGCAATGTTGGAGATCGGCTCGCATAGACCGTAGGTGAAGAACAGGTACATAAGAGCAAGATTGAATTGAGTCGAGCTCATCCCCACATCTTCGAGGAAACCGAATAGCTTAGCATTTCCAGCGTTGCTCTTGTCAAGGGAGCACATGAGGTAAAGGAAACTCAAAGTTGGCAGAAGACGCCAATCCAGCTTTCGCACGAGCTTCTTGTGACCCGGGCCATCAAACTCGCGGTGAAGTTCTAGAAACCGTTCATATTCAGAGGAAACGTGGCCTTCCGTGACCTCGTTCGTGGATGACGGTCCGCCAGGTGCTTTTTTCTCAATATCCTCAAGGGACGAAGAGTCCACATTTGAGATCTGCGATTGGCCCATCGCGAAGACGTTGCGAGGTCGTCAATAAGGATTATTTCAAAGACTGAGGTGGGATGCGAGGTGACACGAAAATCAAGGTTGGTGAATCCCGGATATTGGCATCTTAAGTACCGCTGTCACAGAGTATAGATATCGCTCAGCAAAGACCTTGATAGGACGCGGTGATATGCGTCTCATCCATAAGCTGCAGATAGCGACAGCAATTTCCAATTGTCTTGACTACCCCAGACATCGAGTTTGTCGCGCGCAGGACCCATATCGATATCGGTCCCTTGTCTAGCGCGAGTCATTGTAAGCTCGGCGATACAGATTGTAATTCGGTGCTTTTCATTCGTTAGCCGTGTCCTAATACGGATATCAACTAAAGCACCGAGCAGGTGGTGGGGAACACTAAGAAACAACGGCCAACTTAGACAAACGCCAACTATGATTCGGTGTCTCATAGACCACCGAGCAGTCAAGAGCGCCGGTATTACGCATGCCGGCCAGGACTACGACATGTCGATATCGCCGTGTTCTGTTTTCGGAAGTCTGCATCGTACCATCACGGCGCCTTCTCTCCTGACACCTCCGTTTCAGTGCGTGGCAAACACTGCCGACCTCAGTATATCTACTTGGTGCAAGAACACAGGATCAATATTGAAGAACCCATCCAAGGTCCTCAAACAACTACGACTTTGGTAGTCAATCAAGATGGCACCTTCAGCAATTGAAACCATTACAGAACGTACACCTGTGGTCAAGGGCCTGATCCAGCGTGCTAAGAACGAGGATGGATCACCGCTCTACCCAGACTACATGCCATTCTACGACCCGCTAGAGAAGGTCGAGGATCTGGGCTATTTCGATCATTTCGACCCAGGACACCGTGCAGACCCGACCTTCCCCAACCTGTTAGCCAACGCCACCAAAGTCGTTAACCTGTCGCCACATGTCGGCAGTGAGATTGAAGGTGTTCAACTGTCCAAGCTGTCCTCAGAGGGTCTAGATGAGCTGGCTCTTTTGGCAGCTCAGCGAGGTTGCTTGGTCTTCCGCAACCAAGACTTCTGCGACATTGGCTTTGAGGCCCAGAAAAAGATCGTCAGACACTTTGGTCCTTTGCATATTCATGGCTGGGCCCCTCATCCTGCGGCAGGCTCAGAGGAGCATATGATTATCTACGATCACAAGGAGTAAGTCGAATCTCAAAGAAAATCTTGAATCATATACTTACTCTGGTAAAGTGACCTAAGAGTTCGCAAGTCTTGGAAAGGAAGGAGTCCTGTTCAGTGGCATACAGACCAGTCCCCAGAGCCCCAGCCTCCAGGAACTACCTTTATCTGCATGCTTGAGTCGCCCGCCGCCGCTGGCGGTGACACTCTAGTGAGCTCTAGCGTTCAGGCGTACAAGTCTCTTTCGCCACGCTTCCGTAAGAGATTGGAGGGCCTCACGGCTATTCACACCAATAATGATGGTGTAACGCAAGAAATGAAAAACGGCCAGAACGCCGTCATGCGTCGCAAGGAACTTGTTCAGGAGCACCCGGTAGTCATCGTTCATCCCGTAACAAAGGAGAAGGCCCTCTATGTGAACCCAGTCTATACTAAGAAGATTGTGGGTTTTGATGACGAGGAGTCTGAGTATCTCTTGAAGTTCCTCTTTGATCACATTGCGAAGCGCCAGGACTTCCAGTGCCGAGTTAGATATGAGGCGGGTACTTGTCTTGTGTGGGACCAAAGAGTTACAAACCACTCCCAAACACTAGACTATCCGGCGGGAGACCGTCGCCATGCTTTTCGCCTCACGCCTTTAGCTAACAAACCTATTCCTGCCAAGATTGAGGAGGATGATGGAGAGTGCGAAAAGGATATCAACAGAGTGCAGCTCGGTCTGTGCTAAACATTGTTCTGTCGGGGTTGATAGGAAATCGACCCTGGAACAGCATATGTATTATGAAGCATGAATATATAACTAGTAAAGTTTGCTCGAAGTGCTATAGAAGTTTCAAGTACGCGCAGTGGGTATCGATATGAATCAAAATGTGAATAGAAAGTCCTCTGTCGACTCAGGCTGCTGCCAATATAATTGTTGCCATTCTTGCCAGGATTCTAAAAGCTCTGGGCCATCCATCCTTGTCAGGCGACCCATCACAGATGAAGGTCTTTCCAGCGCATTTAGTATCTGGTTATCTTCATCGGTTATCTGGTTTTCTCGAGGATCGGCTGTATTGCTTTGAATGTCTTGATTCTGTGGAATTTCCTGCGCCTCTTTGGTAAGATCTCCATCAGCAGGTTGTGCATAGGGAACTGCTGTGCTATCTGCGACCGCAATCTTTTCAAACCCATTATTTCCTACTTGCTGTTGACGCATGGAGTTTTCGAAGAAGTGTAAGATAGACTGAGCATTAGGCCAGTAGTCTGCCAGTCGTTTAAAAGAAAACAAAGCAGAATCAAATTTCCTCAGCGCCGATACGGCGAGAACCGGATTCGACATTCGTATCTCCACTGCAAGTTGTATCAAAGCCGTGAAGAGACAGTTGATGCTCGATGTCCATAAGATCTTTATTTCGTCTTTCTCGCAGAGAAACTGGAATATTTGCTGGATAGCCGTTGCGGCAGTAGCGCAGATATCTACATCCTCGGGGCTCGATTTGGTCGAGAACTTGTTTGGCCGGGGCCGATGAAGTAGAATCAGTGACGTATGGTAATGCAACTGCAATACTGCAGTCCACACGTCCAAACCAGGTGAGGTATGTAGATGTAGTTCAGCAGGCAGGTGAAATGACCAGTTGGCCAACGCACCATCCGTCTGCTGCAGAGTCACCCGCCATGCGTCAGGGTGGTCCCGGGCCTGGAGACGGCTGCGCATAGCATTTGAGATAACAACGCAGAGCTCGGTGGTGTGAATAACGTGATCTATCCTCACTCTTGGTCCACAGTCCTGAAAATCTGATGGTTTCACTCTCTGGACATCACAGTCCTCGGGACGAATAGCCTGAGGCCGACCATATTGGAGAGCGAGGAGCACGTCGCACTGGAAGAGCAGCCACCAAACTCTGCGCCACATCCTTTTATTGTGCGGGACCAGGTTGCTCTTCTCTGCATCCATGTGCAGGCCAAGTCCTATTGCGGTGCGAATGGCTAGTCCTAACCAGAACCAAGCGTTTGCTGCGACGTCTTCAGGCCCATCGGCATGCCACGTTAATAGAAGAGCGGCTTGGACGATGGTATCTCGATTTCGCTCAAAACGAGCATCAAACAGCGCTTTGGCACGGCGGAAGAACATGGCCTTGTAAGTATCACGCTCTGGCTGCTCATAAAGCACATGAGCTCCAGCAACTAGAATGGCGTGGAGGAGGAGTAAGGATGGCGGGTTTTGCGGATCCTTTGCTCGATACTGTCCCATGAAGAGATCTTCGTCCACGACAGGAAAGCCAGGGTTAATATGAGCAAAGTATACTGCCAGTAACCTATCCACCACGGGTTTCGGAGGAAGCTGAAATGCTTCAACAGGCAACCGGTCTGGTTCATGGCATGTATACTGTCGCGCAATGCGATTTGTAGGATAATGACTTGTTTCTGCTGTCCGCCAGCCAAACTGTTGATTTAAGAGAAAGTGGATATTAGAAAAGTCATTGCCAATGAACATAATCCTTGCATCCTTGTCGATTGGTCTCTCTGTGATTTGTGGCTGATCCATGAACTCGACCAGATACTTTTTGTAGTCGCCGTCACTAGGATGTCCCATATGCAGACCAGGAATACCGATAGTTGAGGCATCATCAGTGACAGAACGTCTCTCGTTTAGGGGAGAGAAGATAGGGGCTGCACGAGACTCTGGCCGAATGCTTGGAGATGCGCCAGTGGCATCATCTCTGGGTGTTCCTAGCTGCTGAAGAGAAGAGACAGTTGCCGTCGGGGAACCCAAGGTGAGGGGTGTGGACAACACATGGGCTGATTGCTGTCGCTGGAGCCGCGCCAATCTCGATATCCTCTTACGCTTCTGGTGGAGGTGACATTCGTTTTCTCGAGTTGCCTTGCGACAGTTTGTGCAAGGGAAACCTGCATCCTGCGCATCGCACTTCACTTTCCTCTGGTGACAGACAGTACAAGCTGTTCGGCTAGCGTTTGCTTGGGCACGAGTAACCCGCTGCTGGGGGCTACCGGTACTTGCTGAAGACATAGGATGGTGTGAAAGTCAACATTACGTTTTGTCGACTCTTAACTACGAATAGTGGAAACGAGGTTCAGTCTCCAAATGATCTACGATCTTCTCGAGTTTACCTGTTTGAATACCCCAGCTTACAAGGGACCCAGAAAATAGGAAGGCAGGCAGGGTTCTCTCCACTGAATCTGACAGAGACAATCGCTGTTAGCGAGCAATGGAGATGGCGCTAGACGAGTAAAAGCATTGCGTAAAGCGGCCATCGCAGAGCGCCGGTCCCACAGCGGCGGATAACACCAACGTTGGCCGCGCCCGGGCGAGTCAGGCCGCACACCAATCCGAATAAGTGTAATAGCAAATGCGAGTAAAAGGCCTCGATGCCTCTAAGTCGGCTCCCACGCCGATGGTGCCGTCTTGGGTGCGTCCGGTTGGCCCCCCGCTTATCTTCTTATCTGAGCAATATAATCAGGGGTGCCGCCACATTAGAGATGGTCTGACATAGTTCTGGACTAGCTGTGTTGTACTCCAGCGTAATACTGTATGCTTCCTTAAGTCCTAGGTCGAAGCTGCAGAGGTTGGATTGTCACGTCGCGTCAATATCACCAGATCTGTCTACATTCGCAACAATGGAGTACGATCTCGTAATCACCAATGGTATCTGCGTGACTTCGAGCGATGTCGCGGCGTACGACGTTGCTATCAAAGACGAGAAGATTGCTCTGCTCGCGCCCTCCGGTTCTCTCAAAGATGCTAGTACAAAGCGTTTGATTGACGCCGAGGGCGGCTATGTCATGGTCCGTGATAGACAAAATTAGAATATTATCACCAATGCTGACACTTCATAGCCTGGTGGTATTGATTGCCATGTACATCTTCAAGAGCCAAGTATGTTTGGCAAGGGCTCGTCGGCCGACAGCTACGAAAGTGGTAAGAAAGGATAGACACTTGATGGATTCATTGACTCTAATAAACCCCAGGAACGAGATCGGGGATTGCAGGCGGTACAACCACAATTGTATCCTTTGCTCCGCAGCAAAAACATGAGGATTCGGTATTGATACCACTCCGAAATACACATGCACTTGCAAAGGATAACTGTTACACCGATTATGGTTTTCATCTGTTGATGGGAAATCCAAGCAAGGAAGCTCTCGCAGAGCTGAAGGAGCTCAAAGAAGAGGAGGGTGTAACATCCCTCAAAATTTATATGACTTATACTGCTCTTCAGCTCCGAGACGACCAGATCTTGTCCGTACTCTTGGCAGCAAGAGAACTTCACATTCAGACCATGATCCATGCCGAGAACGGTGATGTTTTGAACTGGCTGACCGACCAGTTAGAGGCTCAGAACCTAGTCTCACCGAAATATCACTCAAATTCGAGACCGCCTGTACTGGAGTCAGAAGCAACAAACAGGGCAATCGCACTATCATCTCTGATTGCCAACACCCCTATTCTTCTCGTCCATGTCAGTGATCCTGCTGCTGCATTAAGGATACGAGAGGCACAGACTCATGGCCAGCCCATTTTCGCGGAGACGTGTCCACAATATCTTTTCTTAACAAGAGATGATCTTGACAAGCCTGGGTTCGAGGGAGCGAAGTGTGTTTGCTCGCCACCACCAAGAAATGCTGCCGACCAGCAGGCGATCTGGAGGGGCTTGAAGAACGGCACATTCACAGTGTTGAGCTCGGACCATTGCCCGTTCCGGTTTGATGATGCTGAGACGGGCAAGAAGGCCTGCATTACACACGAGCACCCCGTTGGACGCTTTCGATATATCCCCAATGGTCTTCCCGGCGTTGAAACTAGGATACCTCTTGCCTTCTCCGCAAACAAACTCCCTCTCACAAAATTTGTGGAGGTAACATCGACCAACGCTGCGAAGTTGTATGGACTCTACCCGAAGAAGGGCGGCATGATTCCTGGTGTATCAGATGCGGATCTTGTGGTCTGGTACCCGGATGAGAAGAAGCCAAATTTGACTTTGACCAACTCCATGCTTCACCATGACTGTGATTATACCCCGTACGAAGGCCGGACAGTGGGTAACTGGCCTAGATACACAATTTTGCGAGGCTCTGTCGTATGGGATAGGGATAACGGTGGAGTTGTAGGAAAGAAGGGATTTGGGCAGTTTGTGAAGAGAAAGTCTGGCGTTTTGAACGATGTATGGAAGACTGTGGATGAGGAGGGTCAATTCGACCTGGAAAAACTGTAGATTCTAGGTTATGATAGGCTCTATCAAAGATGATGATCACATGCCCACTGAGTGTTTGATCAATGCTCTTGAATATGAGTATAAGTGATTGGTATGTTTTGCAGAGTTTGAAGAGTTCCTGGTTCTACATCGTAGTCTGTTTTCGCCTGAGAGGCCATCCCAACACGCCCAAAGAAGAGCAGAGCATCGAGCTTCCCAGAAAGAGTATAAGAGGCTGGTATTTCCCAATGCCGTAACCAGAGTTAAAGGGCTGGTTTAGCAATCCGGCGCTGATTGGCCCAATTGCAATGTTTCCAATGCCTTTGCCAAATAGCATCATGCTGTATACAGGTTGAGGATCCTCTGAAAACATCGATCCAAACTTCGGCCACAGAATGGCGAATGCACCGGCAAACCATCCATATACAATAGAAAACGCAATCAGTGCTGCGAGTGAGTGAGCAAAGCCCCAGATTGTAAATGCTGCAACCGAGGATACAAATGGCAGAATGAAGACAAGAATTAAAATGTTGTTTAGTCGATCAGATAGGTACCCAAAGCTGACTTGCCCAATGACAGTTGCGAAGTTGTTTGTCGCAAGAAGTGCTGCTCCAATTGTACCTGACAGGCCTAGGGCAGAAGCAAAGGAAGGCAGGAACAACGATGGGATATAATAGCCAAACGATTGAAAGAGGTTAGACAGAGCAAAACAATAGAAAAGTGGCTGTGAAAGAAAGCTCAAGTCCAGCATTTGAAACGCACTATGGCTCGAGGTTGGGAGTCGTGCTTTGATCAGCGGTACAACAGGCGCAACTAGAACCGCCAGTCCAATTGCAACCGCTCGAAGTGTTGTCTGATATCCATACTTCGAGAGCAATGTTTGGAGCAGGAAGGGCATGCCTACGCCAGCGAAACCTCCCCCAGCGGCAAGCACACCATAGGCAAGTCCGCGTCGCCGGACAAACCATTCATCGAGCATTCTGAGTAAAGGGAAGTAGAGTAAAGAGAACCCCACACCATACATCACTCCTTGAGTTGCGATGAGGCCAGGAACGGAGCTGGCGAATGAGGCAGCTATCAGGGAGACAACACACATGGCCCACCCAACAACGACCATATGTCTTTGCCAACGCTGATACTTCTTCACGAGTGGTGTAGAAAGAGGTGCTCCGAGAAAATAGATACTCGTGGGACAAGCTCCGATCACAGCGATATTAGAGTTATTTTCAAACTGCGGCTGGCGGGAGTAATATTCCTGGAAAACGCCAAATGCCACGGGGAACCCTGTCAAGCCGTAAGTATTTTTCTTGTCACAAGAACTGATGCGGGAACACGAAATACATACCCCATAGGAGCCCTTCCAAGACGAAACAACCGAACAAGAATTTGTATGCGGCAGAACCCATATCGGTTGGTGGGAGGATTTGACCGAGCTCAGTTACGTCGTCTTCATGGCGGGATGTTGTTGAACGTTCACCATGAGAGGTGCGTTGTAGTTCAAGAGACATGACGAAAGTCTGGAATTGCGCCTGAATTTTACACCAAAAGAAAATGAAATAGATAAGTTGTTGAAATATAGAAATGGTTTTAGGTCGGATTTGGGTTGAGTTTGAGTCAACGGCCGATCACGGAAAAGAAGAGGAGAACGAAGCTTGCAGTGGAAGGTTGGTCTCTAGTAAAAGCCTTGGGGATCGACCCCTCTTCGCATTAGAAGTCGTGATATCTTCCAGCTCTTAGTAAGACCCAAGAAAGAATAATAAGACGCCTTGGAGTCACCAACCAGTATTATCAGTCTGTCGTTGTCATTTTGTTGAGTCCCATTGAGTTTGCTAAACCTATATAATCTTTAGATGAGTAGATGAGAAATATCACAACCCACGCCTACCATATACCTTCTCCCTATGGAAATGAAGAGTTCCCAACATTGAATGAATATTAGTATAACATCTAGTTGAATCTCATGTAACTAAAATTGTGCACAATCCAGATACTATAGTTCAAGGTCACGACCTATTTACAAACAATGGAAGCTTTGCTTGAAGGTACCAAACTCCCGTCACACACATTTACCTATCAATATAGCGGCTTCGCAACCCCACCACCCGCCAATGCGGGGCTGCAATGGCGCCAAAAACTTTTCGACGGGCAGAAAAAAAGTACATTTATCAAAGCTGGTTTATCTCAGGTGCTCATGCGTACGTTTCTTCTCGACTGAAAATTGGTACTTCACAACTCCACGCCGATTGAGCTTAAGGGTCTCGATACGATCAAGATGGCGGCCCAGGAGAATAACATGCCGTTCATCAAGAACCTGGCCTCAAGCGGTCAGTCCATCACCGCCTATCTGCCATTGCGTGCACTTCAGACTAACATGCAAACTCCCAGATCGCAAGATCCGAACCGCAGCCTTGACTTCCCTCCGTACATTCCTCTCCTCAAAACACCACGCTTCCTCGCTACAGCCGCTTGAGATCCTCAAGCTATGGAAGGGTCTCTTCTTCGCGCTCTGGATGTGCGACCGGCCTCTCCCGCAACAGGCGCTATGCGCCGAGCTCGCAGACCTGATCAACATCCTCCCGGAGAAGGCGGTGATTCCCTGGCTGCGGGGTTTCTGGGCGACAATGGCTCAGGAGTGGACGGGCATTGATGTGTACCGCATGGAAAAGTTTCTGCTGCTGGTCAGGCGGCAGCTCGGCGCGAGCTTTGCGTGGATGAAGATCAGCACGAAGAAGGACGAGCAGAATCGCTGGGACACTGGACGTGTGAACGACATTGTAGACCTGCTAGAAGAGTGGCCGTTGTCTGTGCAAGAGCAAACGGCTGCGGCGCAAAAAGAGGGTGCTGAGACGGATCCTACACTGCCTAAGACCATACCTGTCGGGTTGAAGTTGCACGTTATCGATATTTGGGTGGACGAAGCAGAGAGAGTAGGCATGCTCGAGGAGGCAGAGGACGACAACAACGACGACTCTTCCGAGATTCAGGGGAAAGCGATTGTCGAGAGACTGAACGCCCTCGTTGATGCAATGGTGGACGGGACACCCAGCCCAGCGGTTAGGATACGAGCAAAAGACTCATTAGCAGACGACCGCCTGCCCTGGAACAAGCCACGAAACGGTGGCAAGGACGCAGAGATGGCTGATGCAGGGGACGCGGATAGCTGGGACGGGTTCGACGACTGAATCAGAAACCGTTTTCGCTGTGTTATGACTTATGGAGTTCAAGGCGTCACGGTAGACTGGTGCAGGATCATACCCCTTATTCAGACTCGACTTGGGTCAGGAAACTAAACAATTCCATGATTTATACAACGCTGCCTGCTCTTTTACAAGCGGACTAGTATACATTATATGCGAATACCCAATTATCGCTGAGGAGTGTATCAGGCATATCAACACAAAGCAACTCCTAACCTCTGCTCTGCTTTAACCGCACTGAAGCAGTGACCGATTCTTTTTCTATTATGGGTATCATTGATTCCAAACAAAAAGGAATCCAACTGTTTTGCAATGGCACGGACCGCACGATTGCCAGTGACGCAAGGAAAACCTGTAAGACTGTGATGTTCATTCCAAGCCCTTTATGCCATATAGCGCTCAGTAACCGTCACCTTGTCCCAATTGTGAGGACCAGGTGCCTCGTACCCGCCACGCTTAGACAGGACCTTGCCAAGGCCTTGGTGTATCTCAGCTTGGAATGGCTCGAATGGCACTCTCTCGCCATCGATACTGATGTAGCCATCACTCTGGTTCTTGGGAATGATGCGATAGGCAGACACCTTGCGGTACGCTACAAGGGGGTTATCGAAAAAGTGTCCGCTCTCGACCGAGAGCATCAACTCGATTGACTTCATGGGCGAGATGTTGCCGTCAATGCAGACAAGGTCCATAAGACCGTCATTGACTAGGGCTGCGGAGAAGAAGTTTGCGTCAGGAGCCATATACGCCATCTGGATGTCATTATTAGCAACAATCGCGAAAGTCATATATATTATACGGTTGATACTCACATTTCCGCAGTAGAAGTTGCCCATTTTCTCGCCAGGAATGACCTCCCACCCCTCCGGCAGCTTGTCGTTGATCGTGCCGTATTTCAGGGGTGGCAGGCCCTCCTTATTGCTGGATCCAGTTGCCTCGGACTCCGCCAATGATTCATCCCTGACTCTTGTGCCGTTCAGATTCACTGCGGATGAGGAGAATTTATCCAAGGCTTCTGTTGAGCTGTTCTCCCTCTCGCGCTTGTAGTGCCCCTTGACGCCCTCCTTGTGACCAATCTCCAGCTTCACAGCAATGTCGCATGGGTACACCTTCTTTTGGAACAATCTCACCAAGAAGCCAACAGTGAAGCGCGTCTCGCCCATCCAACGCATGCTCTCCGTGGCCAGATCGCTCTCAGCGACGATTCCCAGGGACTGACTGAGGAAGCTCAGCGTCCGCCTGTCGCCCTGTGTGATGCTCACCAGGTCCATGGGCGTCGGCACACCTTTGACGATGGCCAGGGCCGCCAGACTCGGCCTGTGTGTTCCGTACAGGTTGCACGCCATCGCGTTGCCGGAGCCGCAGGGAATATGGCACACGGCGAGCTTCTCCAGGGCGCGCCTCGCGTCCGCCCGCCTGCCGAGGCCATTGAAGCACTCGTAGGGAAGCCCGTCGCCGCTGCAGGGGACCACAATGTCGAACGCGTCAATGTCCATCTTCTGGCACAGCTCGACCGCCTCGCCCGAGTACTTTGTCTCAATCACCTCCATGGGCATGCGCGCCGCCGCAAAGATGGGCCTGACCTGCGTCTCCCACTTCTTGTCCGCGCCGCCGGGCCCTGCGTGCGGGTTGACGAGCACGTAGGCGCGCTTCCGCCGCGCGGCGGGGCCGTACGACCGCGTGAGCAGCGCCTCGATCCATGTCTCGATTCCGGGCGTCGGGGTGCTGTGGTGTTCGGCGCCGGCCGTGGGCGCCGTCTTGTAGGTTAGCTGGGACACGCGCAGCCGGGTCTTGGAGGTCTCCTCGGCGAAGTCGACGGTGAGCGTCTGTCGATCATCTGACAGCTCGGCCCATAGGACATTGTACAGGGGAATCGAGCGCGTGGTAGAGGCGTCGGCTGCAGCTTGCATGTGTTAGTCGCGGGCTCCGCGGGAGGACGGAAAGGGGGGCTAAGCTTGCGGGGAAGCGTACAGGAGAAGTCAATGCCGCATGTTCTGCTCTTTTTCTGGCCTGCTTTGTCTGGCAATGGGGTGTTAGCGACCTGATTGAGGCAGCTTATGTTGGGGCGCCGTCGTGAGAAGTTGTTGGCGTACCTTGCACACGGAGGGAGTCGTTCTCTAGGGTAAGCGACACATTGCGCCCGAGATTGATGGTCTCGGTGAGGGCGACTGGTTGAGAAGTGGCATTGCCGTTGCCGTTCGCTTGGGGAGCGCCGCTCTCTTGGATTGCCTCTGGGAATGGCTCCAGGGGAGCTGTGACAGGAGCTTCGGAGGCCATATCCAGTGCTCGATCACTCGGTCAACTGAATCGTCAGAAGGGGACGAGTACGCGCTATAACATGCTGCTGTGAGAACCTCGATAGCTTGATGCTGCTACGGCGTCTTCGCAAGGAGACGAATTCTCGATACGGTAGAGATGAATGAATCAACGAGAGACTGTTAGGACTGTGCTCCAGTCAGAGCAGCAAGAAGTAAGAAAAAGAAAGCATTACAGACTCGCGACGGCGAAGTCGGATCCCGGAACGGAAGGGTGCAGAACCCCGTTGCTATTAGTATTTCCAATATCAGACGGGAGTCAGTCAGTGCCTTTGTTAGTTCTTACAGTGCTGGCAGGAGTTAGGCGGCGCAGCAAATAGTAGGCGAGGCCTAGCTTCATTTAGCTGGCTCGGGGCCTGGTGGACAGGGAAAAGCTTCCCCCCAATTTAGGGAACAGTAACAACGACACAAGGGCCCGGCCACCATCTGCGCCGAGGCACAAGGACTGGATACCTATCACCTACCGGTATCTATCCTGTCCTACCGGAAGACACGGAGGCGGGCTAGGGCCTGATCCACCCCTGAGCATGAGCATCTTATACCGAGAATGAAATGTGTTGGACTCTCAGCGGGAGCCAATGTGTATGAATATTGCAGGCCATTGGCATGCAGCCGTCATACTCGGTAGCTTTGAGAGGATTCACTTGTACGAGCATGCCCACATCCAGACAATCATCCTCGATCCCTTGCGTACGCCAAAATCCTACGCTCATCTCATCTTACAGTAAGCCACGCAAGCATCCAAGACCTCAATCTTACAAAGATGAAGGAAGTACCAGGAGTCCAGGACCAGACAGCCATCCTCGCATTCACAGTCAAATGGGATTCAATTCGGACTGTGATGCGATATGTCATTCCGAGCGTCCGTTTCTGACGTGAGCTAATGTTAATGGACCATTGAGTCCGACTTCTCAACACCGAACCCGCAGTGCGGCACAGTCTAGTCTTGGTAAGTGAGACAGACTTGGCCTTTGTCCATCGATCTCGTCGTGGCTGAATTGATTCATGTATGCGGACATTCTTGGTGATTGAGAAAGCTCACCCCGACAAGACACCCAGTGATGATTCCATGTTATCATGTTGATTCTATCGGAGTGTACATATCGAACACAATCTCAAAACTTTTCTTGGCAAGACATCGCGCCAGTCCCTCTGCGAGTACCCGCCGGATGCAAGGTATATCTAATACCGTAATCATGCTCTAGCCCGCTTAGACCTCTTGGGAAATGCGATGTGATGTAGTTCATACGCTTAGAGTCCTCCAAGATCACCTATGCAAATGCAGCAGCCTCTGGCCACTTGGCCGTTGCCGCCTTCTTGAATGCCTCCGTCTCATTACTCCTCCAAGACTGCAGCACTTGGAGTGCGTCTGACGCTTCTTCCAATGTGATGCTGTCCAATGAGACCAAGTCCACAAGCTCCTTGGCAAGTTTACCCTTGTCACCACCGAGCTTCTCCTCGACTAAGATCGCCGATAAGACGTGAGACGGACTATCTTTGTGCTTGGTTCGGAACTGTTGGTTGAAATGCTTGAGATCTGTTGATTCTGAAATGGTCGTAAAATCGGCCTTAAGAACTTCGGCAACCTTCGGTGACACACTGCTCAAGTTGTCATTCAACGCCTTCCGGAAGGCAACTGCCTGCTCATGTGCCTTAGGGTTCTCGGGATCAATGGCTAAGGCGGCGTTTAAGCAGCCGAGAGCCAGTATGTATTTTTCTGCAAAGTATTAGCAATTCTGAGTGCCATTCATATCCCGTCCCCGGGAATTACTCACTCCTTAGCAGGTAGACCTCAAAGCCAATTGTCTGGGCTTCAATGTTCTTAGGGCTGAACTGCAGTAGGGGGCCGAGGAATTTCATTGCGTCACTAAGCGGATCAGTGGTGGCCGCCAGCTTGAGACCAAGGGGGTCTTCGTCCTTCTTCTTCGCTGCCTCGCCATCTTTGCTTTTTTGTGCTGTGCCCTTGTTTGGATCCTGCTTCGCTGCCTTCTCAGCAGCTTCCTTCTCTTGCCGCTGAGCCTCCTTCTTCGCCTTCTTGGCTGCCTTCTTCTTCTCCGCCGCATCGTCCTCCTTGGATTTCTCATCGAGACCATTCACGCCATTCGCAGCAGTGCCAGTCTGCTTGGCATACATCTGCAGGTAGACCTTGACGGCGTCCATGGCGGCACGGGAGTAGAATGGGTGCTCTCGTAGCTGATCTTCCCATCTGATCATATCGATATAGGCGCGAATGAGTCCTTTCCTGAGCGAGAAGCTGTGGAAGTCAAACTGATCTTCCTGCCAGACGTCGAAGATGTTCCAGATGGCATGGAACCGCTTGAGAGCCAATCCGACGTTGCCTTGGCGCATATAAGACTCGCCATCTTCTGTAAGGAACCATATGCACTGCATATCCAACAGGTCGGCCAAAGGACCATCAGCTGTCTCCCCTCTAGTGAACAGACCCATAGTCTCCAATGCCTTCGAGCTTTCGTTGTTGCGTAGTTGGTATTTCGCGGCCTTCGAGTTGATGTAGCGATCCTTGGTGTCCAGAGACCGAGCATGGTCCATTGCTTCAGATGCCTTGTGCGTGTTGCCATGGTGCTTCCATATCCTGGCCTTAGTCATGTGAAAATCGACATTCTTGGGGTCCAGTTCAATAGCCTGGTCGACAAACTTTGATGCTTTGGAGAGATCACGGCTGCGGTAGTAGTTGTAATGCTGCGCAAGGAAGTAAAGAGCGGCCCCTTGACCCTTTGAGCTGTCGCCGTTGATCGAGTCCGTACCATTGGCCTTGTGTGACTCGAGGTACTCTTCTGCCACAGTGGGCAGCGTATCACGCTTGAAGGCATCGCTATACAGATGTTTCAAGTTTGCAAAAGTGGACGGCACACCCTTGTTGAACATCAGCGTGAGATATTTTCGAGCGGCATCTTTGAAGTCGTCGCCTAAAATTTCTTTAGCAAATGCCCCAGAGGCAGTTGTATGAAGCAAGCTCACCGGTCAAGAAATCCAACGGCAAACGCCTGGCAGCATCACATCGAGGCGACTTCTCTGCATACTCATCGTATATGGCCTTGAGGGCCTTGTAATCTCCTTCTGCGATGTCTAAAACCTTGATGAGATCGGTGTAATACTGTGGGTGTTCAGAGTTTCTGTCCAGGAGAGCTCTATAAGCTTGCGCAGCTTCCTCCTTCTTACCCAGCTGGGTGAGGTATTTGGCTCGAGCCTCCATAACAGCGAGGCGATCGAGAGTATTTTTCGCTGCAGAATCAAGGTGGTCCAATGCCCGCTGGATATCGCCCGTCTCAGAGATGATCATATTCTTATACATGACAGCTTCGGAATTCTCGAAGTCCGACTTGGACGGCTGGACCTTCAATGTGTCCTCGTACGTGGAAAGGATGTTCTCCGCGTCTTGCAAGTTGCCTGCCAGATGGTGTGCTACTGCTAAGGCAGTCCAGTTCTGCCGCAGCTGGGGCCTAGCTTGGAGCATGGCCAGTCGACTTTGAACATAGCCCTGATAGTCCCGCATCTGAACCTGAAGAATGGCAAGATCACGCTGGATTTGACTGGACTCAGGCTCTAGTTTGAGCGCAAACTTGTATGCCTTGATGGCCTCCTCGAAATTCTTGTTCGTTCGGTAGAGCAGGCCGTAGACGTGCCAGCAGATGTGCGACTTCATGTCGACAGTCAGCGCCTCTTTTCCCAGGGCAAACGCCTCCTCAGTCTTCCCCTGCGCATTCAATATGAGGGCCTTCATGGCCATGGTATCTCCATGCTTCGGATGTTTCTTCAGGATCTGCTCGGCAGCCTTGAGGCCTCGCTTGTACTGCTTGTCCTCATAGTTGCGGACAACTTGTCGAAAGAGGTTGCCCTCTCTCGTACTGAGGGGTTGCGGCATCGGAACGGCGCTATTCGCAAGTAGGACGAGAGTGCGTATAGATGACGACGAGAGAGATTATCGCTTGTGCGCCCCCTTTGGAGTCGAGAAGTGGTCGGGTAGGTAGAGGTTGTATAGTTCCAGCAAAGCTCTCAATCCTTCGGAGCTTCGAGAAAGAACTAATTGACAATATTATTGGGGCGCAAAAACACCAGGCTCAGAAAGTAGACTTTTTGATAGAGAATGAAATCCACGCAGCCGCGCAAGTCCTGCTCCGAAATTCCTTTCTGCGAGGATCTTCCTCGAAACCGTTTGCACGAGCTGGTGAGGGTGAGGTCGTGTGCCGCAAGCTGTCTCTACTGCGAATTTGGAACGTTTGGCGGGCGCTCCGTCATGTCGGGACCAGGCCAGAGCTCTCTGTTCGGATCTTCCAATGTTCCAGGCTGTGGGGCAGCACCATCCAGTGTGCAGCACAAGCACTTTAGCTCCCTGCGAGTCACCCGAGTCCTAGGAAACTGCTGGCGGCTCATCGGCGATAAGATTGTGGGGGCCACCACCAACGAGATGGGAGCTTCCAAGCTTGTACGAAAGTATTAACATGAAGCTCTTTGCAACCTCAAAGTATCTTCCAGAAAAGGAAACAAGATTGTTTCATTTATCAGTAGCAGTCTGACTTGTTTGTTTTGAGATTCCGTTGAGTGACACAGAATGTGTTTGTCAATCATCATCAAGGGATGTACAACTGCCAGTGGGCTTGGAGTAGAGTACTACTATTACAGAGAATGCTTTCCAAAACGCCACGCTTATGCTATATAACTTTGTGTGTACAGCCTACCGGCGTGCCCGATCCCTTCGCCAGCTGTGAAGAGCATCTTCCCATTCCTCAAACGACTCTCCACACCGTTCCTTGACTATGCCCCAACTTCTTGTCCGGACGATGCTCTCCACGCCTCGCTCCTGACGGAGCAATGTAGCCAGCTGTGTCGTACGCGGCTCCCTCGGAAAGAAGCGCGCCGAGTAAGGGTCGAGTCGCTCATCAACCACCCGTTCGCGGTTCTTCTCCAGCTCTGCTTCTCTGACCGCAACCTCTGGATCTTCGGGATCTGGACTTGTAGCCACCAGCGCACAGTAGCTGAGAACATCGGATCGAGCCTGCCATGCCGGGAAAAGCACCTTGTCTTTGAAGCCGGCACAGGACTCTGGGTCTATTTGCTTTGATCGCGGCCGGGGTGTGCGGTAAGATGTGGAGGACGGGTCAAAGCCCTGCTTCGCTGGCATCACGAGCGCATTGAGGTTCTGGGTGATGGAGTCATCGATAGCTGAGCGCGAGAGTCGCAGGAAGTCTGAGTAGTTGTAAGTTGACGAAAAAAATTCTCCAAAACAAGTATATGCATACCTCTGAGAGCAGCAGTGGAGAAGCAAAACTGCGGAGTTAACCTGGGTTGACTGGGAGGCTCGCTCATGATATCTTTGTCTGAAAGGATATTGCTTTTCTGGGCGGTTGAACTCCTCCGCCCGTGCCACAGTAAGCTCGCCAGGGTGAATAAGTTGATCACTATCGCCTGGATATGACCAGTCTTGTTTGCTGAGATGCTCTATAATTTCGATATTTTCGTCAAGAGTGTCGTCGCGGAATGCTTGTTAGTATCGGATCATCAGCTCAAAGGTCGGAACTTGTCGTCATCCAAGAGTGGCAGCTTCAGAGGCTGACAGCTGGTGGCAATTGGCGTGGGGTCTCCACCATTTCCCTTAACTGTACCCCTACCGTGCAATTGTACCCTGCGACCAACATGATTTAGATGGGTATTAACGCCACTTCATGAACTGTGCTTTTCTCATCGCCTTGCCTCTTCGGATGCTTTCATATAAGGAATAACAATGCTGATTCATATTTGCGACAAGGTTCACTGTAGTCGAGAACATCGGTTCACACCCCAAGCCTTTGATGAGAACTCCTAGGTGAAACGCAGAAAGCTTCCCAAGCACCAACTGTGAAACTAGGCGGCCAAGGAATAATGTTAACGGCCGCCTTACTTCCAAGACTCAGAATATACTGTTCTCTATCAACGCAGAAACATTGGAAACACTCGTCCTGCCTGAAAGCACATCCTACCTAGCTGTCACGGCCAAACGATATAGTCGGATCTTCATAGGGACAATTATTCAAAACGACTCAGTCATGGCCTTCAAGCCAGTGTACACTGATTATTGATTCTACCCTCGACTTGGAGATCATGGGCGGGCACGTGCATTCTCAGCTGATTTGAGGATCTCCGGGCCGAAGTCCGGAGCGACCCGAGGCGCAGGGCAGGACAGATCTGGCAGGGATCAGGGGAGCTCGTACGCGAGAGTCGCGACCTTGGTGCCGGGAACCATTTTTGGCTGATCGTCGTGGCACTCCAGATCTCGGCGACGGGAGAGAAGGTGTGTGGGTGGAAACCACTGGCAATCCTCTCCCCTCAACGCGTAAACGTTATCGAGATCATATTAGACCGGGCCACAGCCTCTACAACAGGATATAAGGGTATAAGGCATTGAGCAATTTCCGTCATCGACCCAAAAATACCACACCTCGCGCGCGTGGCCCCCCAGCCCATTTATCATGCAAGGGCCTTTCGAGGCAAAAGAGCCTAATATGCCACGTTGAGTTCAGCCAGAAACCCCAGCACTTTTGGCTTTTGAGCCAGCCCGCGTGCAACACAATACCAAGTCGATGATCTACGGTGATATGGCCCTCTTGGCGATTATGTGGCCTATATCCAAGGAAAATTGAACAACCAGGCACCCGTTCCCCCTCGGCCGGAATGCGGGGGGTAAAGCGTGTGGCCGCTCATCGACCTCGTGGCGGCTATGCGGACAATTTTGGGGTAACGGCTGAACGGTGGAAAGGAGAATCATAGGGAATGAATGAAGTATGACGGAACGACCTAGAGAAAAGGGAGCCAATTCGTCTGTATTGAAGGACCGAAGATCTCTCATAAACAGCCAATAACCCTACCTATAGTGATGAGTTACACAAACATAGGCTTTGATAACCTGGAACAGCCTGGAAGAGCTGTTCGCAGGATTGGGGTTGCACTGAGACCAAGAGCCGGCGTTGACAATTATTTCAGGGGCATTGCTGCTTAAGGTGTGTAAGGTGTAGATTAAAGTTGCCAGCATGACGCAGCACCAGTGCCCTTTTGCGTAGAAGTGTTGAATGCCAGTGATTGTTGGAGGAACTGACAGTAATCTACCATTCCAGTTGATGCTGCAGATCTGATGTGATGTACGCATATTTAACCCCTATGAGACTTGGGATTGATTGGGGAAGGGAAGATGCAAGTGAACAAAACGACGGTCTTGGCTTCGTCTTGCAAACCTTGGGGAGAAGGGCTGCTAGGGTGTTAGGATTATGTACCCTCCATAGGAGACAAGTTCATCTCAAAGCCGTGGTGTAGGGCTAGCTACGGCAAAGACCATTATTATAACCGCTTTGGGTGTGGTGGTGATGACTTCTCCCAAGCACATGCCTAAGTAAGGAGCTGCTTGAGCTAAAAGCAAGATAGGCTCCTCAGCACCTAGCGGGAGATACGCGTGTCGCCAATCTTTGCTCCCCATGTTCGTATGCGCTACCGAGTCGGACCGCACCGCCTAACGGCTTAGTAGAGAGAACTGGCTTGCGAGACAACAGTCGAAGAATGTTGAACGGCGGAAAAAGTGATGAGTCTTACTTTAGACTGACTGAGTAAGGTAGGTAAAGCTGCATCATTGCTTTTTTGGATGGTGGAGCAGATTCACAGAAACTCATCTGGAGCAAGTATCTACCTAGCCTGGCTGGTTCACCCCTGTACACACCTCCTGAATTCTTCCAAACGGTGACCCCCCGGCCGCTCACGCGCTGTTTTAATCCGTCCTGTTAACGATGGGGATTCCCAGGGTCCCGAATCCCTGCGCATAATGATAATGCTTCCATCGTCATGTAAAAATTACCGCTTCTTCATTTCGGGGAACGGTGAAGCGTCAGAGCAAAGAGAGGATCTGTCATTTCTTTCGTCCATGGAGAGTGTGTGCATGGTAGCGTCTTGTAGCAGTGAGGCTTTCCGGTGAAGGGTGCGATCTGCCTGTCAAAGCATCATTCTGGGCGAGACAGGCAGTCGGCAACGACGATCGAGATTCGCGAAAATGATTTTCTTCCTGGATTCTAGCCCCTGGATCGTACGAGGAGGCTTGCTGGAGGGTCGCCGGCGTTATACTTGGGAAGGACATAGCTAGTACAAAGTAATGCAGTAACTGGCGGGGCAGTTGGGTCAGTGCAAAAGGGGGAAATGCTTCGATAGGTTCACTAGAGAGCCTCACTGAGCGGACACTCGACCAGGGTACTGGGGATGTGTCAACTCAGGTACTCTTTGCGTAGCGCCCGAGCCGGTGCATTATTATTCTTCTCTTGTGCAACTAAACTCAATGATCGGCTGCATCATTTAGGGAAAAGATGCCCCGAGCAACACTTTGCATTATCTGCAGAGGGCTGAGCAGTGGTAGTGCATAATAATGCTGTTCGGGGAATGAGAGACGAAGAGTGATGTGCAGCTTGGTTAAGTGACCTCTAGCAGCACGGTACAGTAGGTAGACAAGTAGTTAGTATACGATAACTTCGTGTAGGAGAGGGTTGAACAAGAGTCCGCTAATAAGGCTTCTCCATCCTCCTCTTTGCTAACTATGCAATGCAGCTCCATCGAGGCCTCGAGCCGTCTACGCAACGGTCTGCCTACCCCCTACTCTTGGGCCCTAGTGGCCTCGCTTCCGCCCGCTGCGGCTCCAAAATAGCCAGTAAGGTAGGTAAAGCATTGATCTACTCGTCCCGTCTCCCCCCTTCTCGGGGATGCAACCCTGGGCGGCCTTGTACATTTGGCCTGCTCCATCGCCGGCCGCTCCTGTGGATTGAGATCCACATTGCTTTTCAATGCCCCCCAAAAACGGTTTACAAGGAGAGGCGGTCCCTGCGTACGTTAGAATAAGTAGGTATGTCCTGTAGGTTGGCA